TCAAAAACTTCTTCCTTCTCTCTAGTCTAAATCTCCCTCTTTGAGTTTAAAACCATCCCCCCTTGTGCTGTCACAACAGGCCCTACTGAGAAGCCTGTCCCCAGCTTTCTTCCAGGCCCTCTTGAAGTCCTGGAAGAAGAAGTCTGTCCCCAGCTTTCTTCTAGGCCCTCCTGAAGTCCTGGAAGAGTCACCAGAAGGTCTCTCCAGAGCCTTCTCTTGTCCAGGCTGAACAACTTCAGCTCTCTCAACCATTTCCCTCAGTGTAAGTCACCCCAGATTGTTCATGGCACTCCCAGTATCTTATTTTTTACATCTACATCTTGGAATGGGGGCAGAAAAAGTCATGAGGATGTTTTGTTGCTGGAACACTGAGGTTTTCCCTTTTTTCTCCTCTCAGTGCCTTACCATCACACCAAAAACAGTGGGGTGGGTAGACCCCAGCCTTTGGGTTAGGTTGTCTCTATGAAGTGCAGAGGAAGGAGGATTTCCCAGGTACAAAGGTCTGACCTCGTGAAGTTCAGCAAGGGCAAGTCCTGCACCCAGGGAGGAATGATCCCATGTACCAGTACAGGTTAGGGGTTGGCCTGCTGGAAAGCAGCTCCATGGAGAAGGACCTAGGGGGTAAGAAGTTCACCATGAGCCAACTGTGTGCTCTTGAAGCCGTGAAGGCCAATGTTATCTTGGGGTGCATGAAGAAGAGTGTGAGCAGCAGGCCAAGGGAGGCTCTCCTCCCTCTCTGCTCTGCCCTGGTGAGGCCACATCTGGAGTATTGGGTCCAGTTCTGGGCTCCCCAGCTTCAGAGGGACAAGGAACTATGTCACTCCAGTGGAGTCTACGAAGATGCTGAGGGGACTGGAGCATCTCTGTGACAAGGAAAGGCTGAGAGCCCTGGGGCGAGCCCTGGGTCTGCTTAGCCTGGGAAGGAGAAGACTGAGAGCAAGTCTGATCAATAGCTAAAGGGGAGTGTTCAAGAGGATGGGGCCAGACTCTTCTCAGTGCTGCCCAGAAACAGGACAAGGGGCACTGGGCACAAACTGAAACACTGGAAGTTCCATCTCAACATAAGGAGAAACTTCTTTGCTGTGAGGGTGCCAGAGCCCTGGCCCAGGCTGCCCAGAGAGGCTCTGGAGGCTCCTTCTCTGCAGAGATTCCAAGCCTGGGCAACCTGCTCTGGGTGACCCTGCCTTAGTCAGGGGGTTGGCCACGATGATCTCCAGAGGTCCCTTCTAAGCCCTACCATCCCCTGATTCTGGGCCTGGCCTGTTGCCTATTGTCTCTTCCTTTCTTTTTCTAAGCCCTACCATCCCCTGATTCTGTAAGCACTGGCCTGTTGCCTATTGTCTCTTTCTTCCTTTCTTCTCCTCCTCTCTGCACTCTTCTTCCATGTTCTCATACTTCTCTTAACGTTTAGGAAGCCCCTCTACACGTCTGTATTTGTATGTGCAGGTCACAGCAGTATGTTTGTGCCCTAGAAGGATTCAAGGATTCCTCATAGCTGAGTGCAGGAGACCCAGTTGTCATGTCAGCTCCTTCCCTTTCTCCTTTCCTCTCTCACTGTCCATTTTAGGACCTGTCCATGCCTGAAATAAGAGTGTGGTGCCTTTTCCCACACTGGGGCAGTGAGTCTGGGCTCACCTGGGGAGATTGGTGTGCACATGGTGTGTGAGCCTGGTGTTCCCCAAGCATGGGTGTGTTGAGCACGTACAACTTGGCCACTGCTTGGGGAGTTCTCTGGCTCCTGGGACAGAGATCTTACTGGGGATTAGCTGCTGCCAGATGATGTATCCAGCTCTCTCCAGAGGAGCCTTGGGGAAGGGAGTAGCTACAGGTGGTCTGTAGGACACACTGTCACAAGAGGCCATGTTAGACATCCCTGCAGCCTGAGGGTCTCACAGCCTTGGAGTTCAGCTGCTGCCCAAGCTGTCTGCCTCCTCGAGCAGTTAGCCCAGAATGGGGCCAGCCGTGGGCTCCTTTGGTCTCATCTTGCTCTGACTGTCCCAGCACTGGTGGCACCTCTTGCTCTCCTGCCACAGGGGAGGTGGGGCTTGGATGGGAGTCGCCGTTTCCAGTTCCACACTGGAAACTCTATTTCATAGAGAGTTTAAGTAGCATGGGTGGTGGTGGCAGATTGAATTCCTTCCTGGGTTGGGTCATTGGTTTTGCCTTTTTTCCTCCTTTCTGAGCCTGAACAAATGAAGGAGAGACCAAGATAGTTCCCCTGAGCATCAGCCTACACACCATTGTGTTTTTCAGCCCATGGCTGAGGAGTCTGGTGCTGGGCTGTGGATGGGCTGTGGTTCCTGGCAGGCAGTGGAGCACCACACCTTGGACTGCCATGTTAACAATTGCAATGGACCTGAAGCCTGCTGGGCCAGCTGCTGCTAACCTGATTGTCTGTAATTCTGCAGATACACCCCCAGATACTTCAAAATGAGGGTGTCTGGGTGATGGAGGGGTGGAAAGGAGGGTGGGCACAAATATGTATGTGTATATCTACAGGTACAGTGCCTTCTACTGACAAAAGGTTCTCCAGGCACTGAAATACTTGGATCTACATAAGGTCTGTGTTTTGTGTCAGGCCTTTGCCAGCGAGGATACCTGCAGATGGCAGCTGTAGGTAGATGGGATTGTCAGCCTCCCTCTGCCTCTGCTCGCTGGAGCTACAGGAGAGAACTGATGGACCAGCTTTGTTACTGAAAGCATCTCCCTTAACAGCTGAATCCTGGAGATGCCTCTTAGAGCAACTTCCTTCTGGTGGACTCTCCTGACGAGATCACAGCTGGCTTTTGGTCTCTGAGTGTCATGAGGAACATCTAGTTAGGTCTGTTCTTACATCTGAAATACATTGAAAGGTGCTTTGCAGAGAAGCAGCAGTACAGCAGGATTTGAGAGCGGGTGATACAGGGTAATGGTTTTGGGGACAGTGTGCATTTCCCTTCCTCATTCTGAAATTCCTGATGTCTATAAAATCATGAAACTTGACTTAGCACCAGTAGTCGTGACCATACAATGTTTTGATTTTCTCTTCTTGCACCAAGGTTGAAATTTTGTGCTTTATAGCTGCTCTGGTGTGTCCTGTCCAGCCTCAGAATTGTCCGGTAAAATAAATTCACCGTGGTGGTTACTGCTGCTCTAAACAATTCATGGAGAAGACAAATAATGATAACTCATGTTGTTCTTCACCCTTTTATTCTGCCCCGAGTGCTGGTGCAGTCTCAGGACAGCCTCTCAAGGCATGAGAGAGGAAATACTTTGGGCTGAGAAGGTGGTTGAGGAGAGGAACCAGTGACTGAACCCTCGGCTGCCTAATCACCATTTCTGGTGGTGGGAGCTGGACAAGTGGCAGTTCTGACCAGAATGTGCCTGGGTTTAGAGTGACTGTCACCTCACCGAGGCCACGGACGCGGGGTTCTGTTGGGAATGTTGTGGCTCTGGTGTGTAGTGGGGATCCTGGCAGGTCAGCTTCCTCACACCTGCTGAGCCTGCTGACGTGGCTGGTCACGGGCTGGCAGGTGACAGGCCAGCGCCGCAGTGTCCCCTGTCGGCTCTGCAGGGTGCCAGGTGCTGGCAGCTGTCCCCACCCTGCTGAGCCCTGGGGGCTGGGTGCTGTGCCTGGTGCTGGGCACTCGCAGGATGCACCCGGCCTGACTTGCTGGGGTGCAGAGCTGCTGTTGGCTCTTCTGGAAAGCAAGAGGTGGGACGTTACTTGGTTGTCACCTTCCTTTAGGTGGAGACAGCCAGCCTTCAGAAGCTGGCTTCTTCTAAGATTTGTGGTGTTTGAGGTAAGATGGTGGCCTGATCTATTAATTTTTCTCTTTTTTTGTGTTTTTCTACATTCCAGGAAGGGTGCTTGTGGCCTTCAGAAAGCTCAGTGTCACGCCAGGGTGCTTCAGAGGTACAGACACTTTTCTTACCTTCACCAGTGTGCTTTCCTCTTTCCTGTTACGTCTGCTTGACTCCTCTCAAAAGCATGCATCTCTTTAGTAAAAGAAGCTTTTCCAGTGTAGGCCAGGAGCCAGGGTCACGTGGACACCTAGGCCTGCCTTAACTCCCACTCTGTAAATGCATAAGACTTTGTCATTATGAAATTTTACCTGCCTGACACCTCATCTCTGTCTGCAGCTCCCTGTGTCATAGCAGAGGTTCACAGGTAAGTGGTGGAGGTCCCTCTCTCAAACAGTGGCTCAGTAATTTGAGTGTTCAGTGCAGTCTGCCAGACCAATTGCTCTTCTCCCTGTGTTTTCCCTCAATTTACAACATGTATCCTATCACCAGCATCTCCTGTGTTCTGACTAACACAGAGACCTGGTCTGAGTGGTAATTTGTGGGTGTGTTTCTCCAAGTGGCCCAGATCATCTGTCCTAACAGTGAATCTTCTGGTGGTTGACCTTGCATCTGTGATGCAGGGCTGAAGACCCTGCATGGACCCAGAACTGTGAAGAGCAGTTTGATAGACCCACATCTAAGAAGCTGCTGTGTCTCTAGGTCTGGGATAGACCAAGGGAGGAGCAATAGCTTCTCACAGAGTGCCTTGAACTCTTCTGTTGTAGAGCCTGACCTCCTCCAGGGCTCGATATGCCAGGGGCGTTTTTTCCAGTCGCGGTGCAGAAGCCTTGCAGGTCCTTCTTGGAGGCTGGGTTCTGCCTGAGAGCTGGGGGGAGGAGAGACCTGATATGCCCTGGTGGTGAAGGCATGAGCTGTGCCAGGCCTCCACACAGTGTCCTGAGAGACCATCCAAAAGCTCTGGTGCAGCAGGGCATCCCTCTGGCTCCGAGCAGGGGAGGCAGGCTCAGACTGCAGCTGGAGTTCAGTGTTGGGAAGTTTTTGTGGAACTAGTTAATTAGCAAGACTAGAAAGTGTTGGCTGTCTACAGAAGCCACCGTTTTCTCTCAGCTCTGCATGTCCTGGTGTCAGAAGGAGCTGTGTGTTGTGTTAGCCCCTCCTGCCCCCTCTCCTCGGGTGGGTGTGGGTGGGAGCACACGTGCACAGCGCCCGCTGGCCCAGTCCCTTCAGACAGGTGGCAGGGAGAAGCATCTGCTGCCGCCTTGGCCCTCGGCAGGCGGGGAGCACGGTGCTGCTTGCTCAGAGCTGGGCTCACGCCTCCCTCTCTTCCCCTTGCAGATCATGTACGCTCCCAGGTCCAGGGACAGGTTCACCGCCCCGTCCTTCATGCAGCGGGACCGCTTCAGCCGCTTCCAGCCCACCTACCCCTACCTGCAGCACGAGATCGACCTCCCTCCCACCATCTCCCTCTCCGACGGGGAGGAGCCGCCGCCCTACCAGGGCCCCTGCACGCTGCAGCTGCGGGACCCCGAGCAGCAGATGGAGCTCAACCGGGAGTCCGTCAGGGCGCCGCCCAACCGAACCATTTTTGATAGCGACTTGATAGACGTCTCCGTGTACAACGGGGGCCCCTGCCCTCCCAGCAGCAACTCGGGCATAAGTGCAACCAACTACAGCAGCAACGGCAGGATGGAAGGACCGCCCCCCACCTACAGCGAGGTCATGGGGCACTACCCGGGCTCCTCCTTTTTCCATCACCAGCACAGCACCGTGCCTCCTTCCTCGCAGAGGGGGAGCAGACTTCACTTTCAGCAGAACAGTTCAGAGAGCACAATAGTCCCCAGCAAAGGCCACGAGAGGAAACCGGGGAACCTGGTGTAGGCTCCGTTGGAGCTGAGGAGGAGAGGCCGCGGCAGGGCGGAGGAGGAGGAGGAGGAGGAGGAAGGTCCCCGTGCCCCGGTGCCCGGTGTTGTTTCGTTTCACGTGGTACCGCTCAGTAAAACCAAACGTGCAAACCAGTTCTTTGTTTCTGATTCCTTTCAGGGGAATTGCATGCAGAGCAGATGGAAAGGAACACAAACCTCCGTGCAGTTTGTCGACGAGCAGTGTTTCGGGGCGGGGTGGGGGGGGAGATCTTATTTTTTTTTAATAAACTATTTCAATTATTTAATTCTAAAAGTTAACTTAGCACAGAAACGAGGCTTGCACAGCCTGTTTTATACTCGCAGAAGGAAGAAGGTGGTTTTGCTAGAGGATGGGGGAAGAATTGGCCAGTTTGCTTTTTTATTTCTCCCAGGATGTGGATTTTATTTTTTTTTTTTTAATATGAAACAAAATTCCTGTTTTGTGTGCCAAGGTATAAAGTTGAGAACTTAGATGAATGCAAGGAATTAAATTTGTGTTGTGATAACTGTGTTTTAAAAAGTTGCACTATCTTAATGTTTTTTTTTAAAAAAAAAAATATATATGAGGGAACTGTTTTATGTGAAGTTCTTCTATATGTTGTCTCTTCACCTGTGGAATAACAGCAGAGCCCCAGATGTAATCTGGAGGAGCTTGCCCCCCTCCCCCCGGGTTTGCTAGGAAAAGGGGACAGGACTTAGCCTGGCATCTCTTGACTTTTACAAACCAAGAAATACAGGGACACTTGTCTTGGCAATAATTTGCATTCAAAAACCAGTGTGTCACTGAGGTGTGTGGGGGGCTTTGGGGTGGAAGGAGGCAGACAGGAGCTCCCAGCATCCCCCAGCCCTTAGGGCTTGGCCGCCTCGACTCTCGGTCCCCTACCCGGCAAAGCGAAGCCCCAGACGCGTTAATTCCTGTCGGTTCTAACCAAGTGCTGCCATCCCTTTCCTTCTCATACTGCAGTATTGCCAGCACTTACATTCTAGAGATTTCTGTCCTCACTGTAGCCTGAAATGTATTTAGTCACATATCATGACATTATGCAATAAATGGTTTAAAAACGCCGGGGGTTTTCCCCCCGTGATGCTGTTCCAAGACGTGAGACTCTGTTGTGCTTTCCGCTCCCCACTTCACCCCCTAGAGCCCCAGGTCCAGGCCTGGAGATCCCTCCTGTGGAAGCCCAGGGGCCTTCATAGCCGGGACGTGCCCCGTGCAGTTTCTGCAGCAGCAGCTACTCCCACCACGACCCGTTTGGCTCTGGGTCCCGTTGTGGAAACCTTCCTTGGTGGGCGTCCTTCAGCTGACGCCCGCGACGCTGCCTCCACCTCCTGGGTGTCTGTCACCCTGGCTTTGCCACGCTGCCCGTGGGAGGTGTTCCCTGCCCCTGAAGTGGCTCGTGGGGGTGGCTCTTCCCTGGTGGTCCCGTGTGGAGCACGCCGGGTGACAGGAGGGTGATGGTGACATCACAAGCACACGACAAAGCACAACTTGCACTTCAGATGCGTTTCGGCAACGGACTTAAACGGTCGGACCTTGAGAGTCTTCACTTGGATAGTTTCTAGTACCTAGGAGTGTGTCGTAGACCTTTTCACTTTAAGATCTTTCACTTTTTTTTCTCTTTTCCTTAAGCCTCGTGCTTGGTTGCGGGCGGCGGCCGCGGAGGGCTCCGGGGAGGAGAACCCAGGCGCCTGGTCCCGTGGCTGGGGGCTGGATTTCTGCAGGACTTCTCTGCACCCGGGGGCTCTGATCACTGAAGTGCATCTTTGATCTATGCAGAGTTTTAATGCCAAAACAGTGTGCGTGTCTGCGTGTGTGTTTTATGGGCCTCAGCGCGGATTTCTTTTTCTTCATAAGGTGACTTGGTTTTGTTCTAGTTTAGAAAACGTTTGTGTGAGCTGGTGGTCTGAATACACAGCCTCGTTTGTCTCTGTGATTGTGGTTTTGGTCTGAGTCACGTTGGTAACGTGGAGCAAAACTGCCTTTTAATTTGTGTGGTGTTCACAGGGAGAGAGAGATTGTACAGTGGGTTTCACTCGTTTTTGTGTGTTTCCACCCAGCCCCACGGGAGGGGTGTCCAGGAGATGAGCAGGTGGCTGGCAGTCAGCTAGGGCTCTCATCATGTCTGGTTCCTGGGAATAAAAGCTGTGAAGTTAGACTTGTGCAAACAACCTATGAATTCTTAGTTTAAGAAAAAGAAAATAAACAGAAGGCCAAACCGGCAAGTGTTGGATTTGGTTTTTGGTGGTTTTTGTTGTCCTTCAGAAGTGAGCTTGTAAGCCAGATGATGTGTGTGCCTCCACAAATACTGTGCTGTTGCCTAAATGAGGATTGTGTAGCCAGGAAGCCTGGAGGTGGGAACAGCTGGAACTCCATGGTCATGGCAGAGCACATCTGGACTGGGCCCTGGGCTTGGACCAGTCAAGTACCAACTTGTCCCTGTGCACAGATCTCAGCAAAGCGAGCCTTGAACTTGCCTTCAGAGTCACCTCTTGGGAGCAGGCTTTCTCTGAGGATGGCCCTTTGCCACCTTTTGCCATCCCTGCTGCGTGCCAGCAGATTTACACCCTTCCCAGTAACGTCCTCCAGCGTGACACGTGCACTGCTGTCTCTTCAGTCTTTCTTGGCTGAGGGAATCTTCCCGTGCGTGGCAGATGTGACGAGTTCCAGTTCTGTAGAAAGGATTTGTTTAAAAAGAACTTGGTGTTTGCTCCCCTGCTGGTTGCATTTCCTCTTGCATCTTGGCCTTCCCATGGGTTTCTGCTGTCTGAAGCTAACGTGCAGCGGGTAGACCTGTCAGCCCTGAAAGTCTGGTCACCTGGGGGTTGCTAGAGGTGAGCTTGCTCTCTGCTGCTTTTGCTGGGGGCCTCTACTAGGAGTAAATATGCTACTTTCTGATGAGTATTAGTGGTCTCTGGTTGGAGCACTGGCAGTACTATGATGCTGCAACAGTGTGTGTTTTGCTTTTTTGTTTTCATTGCAGTGAGAGAAAATCCCAGAATCATTAAGGTTGGGAAGGAGCTCAAGTCAAACCATCACCCACCACTACCATGACCACTAAACCAAAATAAGCCCTTGTAAACAGAACAGAAGGGTAAAAGAAGGAATATCAGGATTAGATAGCACTACCAGTCTTTACAGGCCTAGAAAGGGCTGATCTGGGAAGACAGGTAATTCTGGGAAGCATTTATTGAAAAGTCCCTTTGAAAATATCCAGAATTCTTCAGCTGTATTCCACAGCCACTCAGATGAAGCTTTGTAAATGACAAAAGATTTCAGCAAACAGTTCCACCTCCATACTGGTGGTTTTTTGTGTGGAGGTTCCTCTGTGGTGGATCCTTTTAGCCTGCATCCTGGTTGCATCTCCTGACCTTTGCCCAGTAACCCATCTTCCCAGAATTCAGTCCAGTGATGTCCCCACTTCAGAAATTTTCTAAAAGGTTTTTCTTTTAAATGTACCCTTAAGAAAAGAAGCATTATGACCTGCATCCTAGTGCAAAGGGTAATTTTTTTCCTGTGCTTCAAAGACTTGCACACTGGGCGTGCATCTGAGTTTTCATGCTTTAGAAGGAAGGTGCAGGTCCTTGAGGAAGGTATTTGTGTTCCTGCAGTGGTGGGATCTGCAGGAGCCGTGGGTCAAGCTGTGCTTCACTTGGGTTTTATTTGCTTGTCCATTTCCCCACCAATTTGTCCCAGCTGGAACATTGCTTCTGTTATCCCGAATCTCTGAATCTTTGTGTTGCAGAAATACATTCAAAAACGTGTTGCTGAGACACTTGTTTTCCTGTGGATGTGTTTGAGGGAAGGGCAAGGAGTGAAGTGACATGGTTTCTGAAGGAATGTGCTTTCTGTGCAGCGGGGAGAGAGCCTTGTCCTGCTGGAGAGCCCCAGGCTGGCTGGGGCAGCCCTGTCTGATGTGCTCATCTCTAACCTGCCAGGGGGTGGGATGTTGGACCTTAGAACTGACACTGATCCGTAAGGAATGTTGGAATGGTTTGGAGGAGATTGATGGGAACCTTCCCCTGACTGAGCACTTGTGGTAACTGAGGTAACCTCATTTCATAGGCAAAGGAAGATTAAATAGTATGCTGGTGGACACAGATATGCTCCAAAATTGTTCTTTGCTTTCTTTTCTTTGTTTCTCTGCTCTTTTTTCCCTTCCCCCAGGGCTGAACAACAGGCTTGCTGCTGCATCTGAAGGTGTTCAGGACTCTTCACAGGCTCTCTCTGGTCATTACTGTTAAGTCATGTCCATGCTCATGGGTGTGCACACACAAACCTGTGCCTGTGTCCTCCCCCTGTGATTGTCTGTTAGTTACTCTGCCACAGCCCAGGAGTGCTCGTGGCTGTAGTTGTGCTCCAAGGAGCAGTGGCAGCTCCTTTGACAAGCGGCTGGAGGCAAGAGGAGTCTCTGCTTCTCAGTCCTGTGCATGGCCCTGTTTTCATCTCTAGGGGTGCTTCTTGCTCTGCAAGTTCTTGCCAAGGGCCTGGGGCACTTCGTGTATCTTCCATCCAACAGCTTTTGGGTGAGCTTTGAAAAATCCTCGTGCTTTTGGGACAACACTGACGTAGACCTCGTGCAGTGGTGCACAGGGAGGACACGTTCTTCACCTTCCCCAGCTCTCAGCAGCGTTTCCTCAAACCTGGCTGATGCTGGGGCCCAAGCCATCCATTCCTACAGTGGGCTCAGATGAAGCTGCCCTTCGAGTCCATCTTTGCTTTTTAGATAAAGGCTGTTGCAGATCATTTAATTACATGTACCTGGTCGTCTCCTGCACTGCGCTGCCTTTGTGCCAACCAGCACGTTTATATCTTTTCTCCTGAGTAGCCCCAAAAGTGTCAATTGTTTAATTCCTTGGAAGGAGGCGTTCTTATGGAACTGTCTGAGAGCTGGCGAGGCCTCTCAGGGCATGGAACAGCCCCTTGCTGAGGGCATCTTGAACTTCACAGGAGTTTTCCTCAGTCAGGAAATGAAGTTTAAAGTTTCGAGAGTGGCCCAGCAGGAAATGGTCATTCATAAGATTTAAAATTATTTTTGTTTTAATACTTAATATGCCATTTGTCAGGGTGTGCTTGTTAATCAGGGGTGTAAATTCCCTCTTTCTTTCTCTTTCTC